CGGAAAAATTATTAGCATTTAATAATAATATTTTTTATTAAGCAAAGCTTCGTTAAGTCATTATTATAGCTAAGTTGGTGCGCGCATATAAGGCCAAAATCGGGGGTTTTCAACAGTTTGCTCTTTAGTGCTCCGTATGGGTGCGGCTGCGGGGTCTGTGGCGGCTTATAAGACTTTTATGCTTAGGTAATAATATATTATTACTTGCTAAGAGTTTCAGCCTTATAGCCACTATAAGTCTCTTGTAGTAAAGAAATCTTATAAGCTATATTAACCCTGGTGGACTCCCACTATAGCGTCCACTAAGCGCATTATAACGTCACTAATAGGTAAGATCTGAAAGTAAAATCGAGGACTATTAACAAATTTATAAGCAATAAGGTAAAGCTCGGGGCCACCAAGGTATTCAACCCCCTAATGTATCGAAAACCTTTCAACGTTTACTTTCCCCGACGCAACCCACTCCTGAATCACCGAGCACGACAAGTCATGGATAAAACATGGCCCCACGACCTTTGTCACACGACTATTTCTCTCGTTCTCCGTTCTAAGAAGCATTGGCACCTTGCCCCGCGACAGGAAACACAATTCATCGCCTTTCCTTAGCTCCCGGGGCCCTATCCCAATGTAACCGTTCGCCGTTTGGAATGTAGTATGGTATCCGAATGCTTGGATCAATTCAGCTTCTAGATGGTGGTCGCTCTCGAGCCATGGGAGATGGTCTGTCATACCCCATGTCCGAGAGCGGCTCTCCCCCAGAATTTGTTGCTTTAAAGCATTCCCCAGGTCTGCGGTGCCTTTGAACCCCATTGAATTCCAGCTGGGACCATATATGGACACAAAGTCATGGATCATGGGCTTGAGATGTAGGTCCAAATCGGGGAAACATACTACATACAAGAGACTAGCGAGCTCGGGGTCGTTGGCCTCTAGTAAATGCTTTAATGATACGGTTCTTTTCCTCTGGAAGCCGTTGACGAGTGTGAGCAGGAAGGCCTGTAAAGGTCGAATGCCGGAGGGATGATGATCCGAAGCGTTGGCCAAGATACTGAAGCAAGTCAAATGCAGATTTCCGAGTTTGGATATGTTGCGGCCGCTGAACGCCATAGGCTCCGGCTCGAATATTCTTTCTACTTTGTCGCCAAGCCTCGCTCCGGAGATGTGCAGTACATTGTCAACGATATCTTCGGTGTCGTCTAAGAAAAAGGCTCCGGCCGTTCTAATAGAATACTCAGCGATTGATGTCTGTCCATCGCGAATCAACGCCAGATCGGGTAGCCAGGAAGGCCACTCAGACTTTTCAAGATCAAGCAATGAAATTCCAGCATACGCCATGAGGTCGACTCGGCCCCCATCAGTTACAGAACTGAACCAATCCATGTAGACTTCTTTTTTGCACTTGTTGTAATCTACTCCATGCTCAATGCAGATTACAGCATCAAAGCCGTACACATAATCTCGCGGATCGGTGACCTTGTACTGTTTGGCGAAGAGCGGCAGGATTGCTGCGTCCATTTTTTTCGCGTCTCTGTAGGTTCGGCGCATCCCTTCTAATACGAGGAACTTGCTTATTATAAATTCCCTAAGAGATATGATCATGTAAACCGGATTGAGCAGGCCAAGTATTCTGCTTTCAGGTCTCCCTAGAAAGTCCAGGAGTTCCGAGAATTGTACAATCCGCGGCCAGGTTGTGACACTATTACCGCAGGTAAACCAAAGGGCGTCTTGAGAAATTGGCAGGACAATCTCTTGGATATCCAAACACGGCTCCAGAATTCGCAAAGAAGTGTCTCCACGATTGATTGCCAGACTTGTGGCAACTCATCCCACGTCGTGGCGTTGGGAATGGAGAGATCCGGTACGACCGGTACGGAAAGGCCCTTGTGAGCAGCGAGAAATTTCTTGAGGCTGTCTTGATCCAGATTCGAGCCGTTATGAAATGCAGCTTCTGTCATTTCGTGGATAGCGGCGATTGCTGCGTCCCCACTCAATATGCCATCTTCCTTTCGGCCGAGCCAGTAGATGACTCTGGATGCAGAGCCGTAAATCGACCCCATCAAGGGAACCTGATGGTTACGTTCTTCAATGCTGTCCTGGTTGATACAGACAGCATCGACCCAAAGAGGAAGACTTTCCGGCTGCCCCGAGCCCTCTGGTTGCAGCATGTTGTTTTTGCGGATATGCCAAAGGGCAGAGTGCAAGTTTTCAGTGACATTGAATTGCTGGCCATTGATGAGGATGGCCCGCTTTATCGTTGGGTCACCCCAAACATAGGATATAGCTGCATAATGAAGCTCAGATGCCCAATCAGCTACCTCGAGAGTGCAGATTATCTGGTCGGCATCATCAATAGAGGGCAAGAGTTTCAGTAATCGGACTTGCTTTTGATCTTTTGCAATGTCCAGATCGTCGTAGGAGAATGTTGTTCTTGAGTCGTCCATGATGCGTTGTACAAGGAATTGTCAGGGCCTTGTGAATGATGTAGGCTAGAGACTCGCTGTACTGCTGTGTGGTCGAAAATGTTCAGGATTTTGCTGCCTAGATAAGTTTGAGCTGTAGTATTGGCCAGTGTGCATTCGCCTTGGCACAGAAAGAGGGGAAGTTGATCGATGAGGCTGAGACGGCTCACAGTGTTCTCCAATAATACGCACGGCAGGAAACGTAGGTATACAAGCGAGTGACTTAAACACCACAGCCTGATGACTAGAAACAGGGATATCGGCACTCCGGGAAGGATTGCCAACCATCCTTATGTAGAACATAGTGCTCTGAACATCCGGCCGAGAGTTTCAACCGCACAGGGAACGGATTATAGCCACGCATACTGAGTTGAGAAGCATTGTACACATATCACGCAATTAAAAGTCGGATAACTACGGATTAGCGACATGTATCTCATCAAACGCGGCATCAAATGCGAGATGCAGCAGCTGTCACACCTTCGCGGCCATTCAGATGCTCCTTGCATAGACACACGAGGGTATGAAATAAGTTCCGCACGTTCATGATCGCAAGACTAAACTTTTCGAAAATAATCAATCCGTGCGTCACTTCCTCCAAGAGTAGGAGATCCCTCGAGGCCGATGTCTCTATGATGTGACAAAAGAGAGCCAAAAAGGGGCAAATAGGACACACGAGTACGACCCTAGAGAACGTTTGAGAATCAGCAGTGAGCCGGTCGGCTGGAGCACTAGGACTGACCAAGTTATAGACAGACAATAGGCGTTCCAGACCCTGTGAGATTCAAGCCCATGTCTTTGCATATCTCTCAACGCGTGGAGAGAGCGTCTGGCATCTTCGAGGCAGAGTTCTTGGAGATACTTGTCATCATGGAAAGCTGGATGAAGACGAGTGATAGCTGTCGCCATGCTGTAATACGTATAATCAACTCCCATCCATTCGACTTGGAGAAATGGATCAGTGCACTGAGGCGATTGAGAGCGGTACTGAGTACGATGTAGGTCAGTACAAGTTCAGTGGAGAGAGTTTTCTCACATACTTCGATAGACTTTGAGCGAATTATCTCCATTCTTGACCGCAAGGCCTGAACAACACCCAATGCTGCTTCACCCGTGCAAGTACCCTGCTGCAGCCGCATCTCACGAGCAATTTCACCCTGCACTTTAGCGAGCTCTAGGTATATGTTGGATACTGGCGCACTCGGCATCTCGGGTACCACGGGCATGAGCAAGGTCGCGTTCACTTCCATGTCCGGCAAGAATGAGCGACGGCCAAGTGACATTGCCAAAGATTTGTCCATAATGAAGCAGTGGCTCAAGCACTGGCGAATCTCCAGGGAATCTTCCTTCGACGAACTAGCAGCCAGATCGGCGAAAAAACGTCCGCCGAGATGAGTGCAAACAAGGCACGCAAACGAGCTTAACTGCGCGCATTTTGCGATTTCACCGGCCATCAGAAAAAGCATAGCCTTTGGGGAGATAAGTCAGCTGAAAGTCAACAGGATTTCTATCTTCACTTTGATTCAGCAGAGGTGAGCAATCGTTGTAGCAACCTACACCACACAGGAGAGCTTGGAGAAGGGAAAGGCTCGGTGGACTGAGTACACTGATGCTTTTGAGCGCCCTGAACGCATTCCTTCTGTACCTCTCTCGCAGTAGCCGCATCCTTTCTTTGATCAAATCACTGTGATCTGTCTCTTCTAGTCCGATCGATGTGAGCATGTAGAAATTAACGCAAACAAGGTACTCGGCTCGGGTAAAATCTGAGCTCCGCCCATCGATGAGGCTGTAAGCCATGCGTTCGAAAGACGTCCTAGATATGAATGAGGTGATTTCAAAATAGAATGCACCCGCAATAGTTTGTGACACTTCTTAGTGTTAAACAAATCCTTTCAATGCACTCGTCGAGTGTCAGTGTCTTATAGTGTCTTCTTACCTGTGGAAAGGAAGCATACGACTTCGTCAGATGGATACATTGAAGCATGACCAAGGTCCCGGTCGTCTGGCGCAGATTCTTCCGTCTCAGCAGGGGGTTCTTCATTGCCTCTAGCACACCGCGAAATAGTGTCAAGTGCGACTTGGAAAACTTCACGCTCATAGGCCCCAAGTCGATGATTATGTGCTAATTCTTTTTGGAAGTAAGTTTGTGCCTCGCACCTAGCCGCTATGGGACTTTGGTCAACACTGGGTGCGGCAGAGGGGCCCTCCCTTGGGTTTCCATGATTTGAAGAGCAAATGTTTGTCGACTGTAAGCGATTGCCGGCTGAAACTGCTTGCTGACCAACAGATGTGCCTTCGATCTGGTCTCTAGAGCTGATTTCAGGTCGGACGGGGAGACTCGCTTGATCGACGGGCGAGTCGACCGATGGATGCAGTGATCTCTCAGAAGAAGTTGATGCCACGTTCTCACACTGATGACCATGAGTCGTATCGAGGGTCGTGTCCTGAGTCATGTTTACTGCTTGGCCTGAGCTGAGACTGACATGCTGCGATCTCGCAGGCGCACTGATGACTTAGCCAAAGTCTGGTCACATGCGCAGTCCTCTATGCTTACTCATTTCCATGACCAAGCCATGGTCGCCGCTTGCGCCTTGTGCGACTGATCTGTCTTGTTCGGAGACACGGTACTAGAGAGCTGGAGCATCGGTCGCATGGGTCTTGGCGATTGCATCGGATCTAGCATTGGAAACATGCGTGTGAGGTCGAGCAACGTCGCAACGGACCAGTGGTTATTTTTCTTTGTCTCACCTTTCTAACATGGCACAGATCACACTATTTCCAGTTACCGCAACACACAAGTCAGTACTCAATTACGAGACTCGTACGGCGAATAATGAGGTTACCGCAATGAGAGTGGAGTTTCGCGCGTCCCCGACCATCACTGACATGTGCTAATCAGTGAGAGCTTGCATGGATGCTGCGGCAGCGGCAGTTGTGTAGTCAGCTACAGCAGTTTTGTTTCCGGGCTTGATAGACGGTGAACAGATTAAAAGGCAGCCGGGACCAAAAAGTACAAGAAGGCTACGAAAGAAGAGGTAGGATAGACTGATTTCCGCACCGCTTCGTATCATGAGAGATAAGACGCGTATCTTAGATACGTCATCACCCCTGATCCTAATCCCTGCTCATAGCTCTACAGTGTACAAACCAACTGAGTCTACCCTCGGCCGTCCGTATTCTCATCTAAGTGTGTCAGTCATTTGCCATTGTCATCCATACAGAATTACTAGTACGACGTAAGTAAAATCTTAGGTATTTGGTCTCTCGCTCAAGTGTATATGCATGAGAATCTGGAGTAGAGATGTCCAGCATTGTCAGCAACGCCATCTGTCGCACCCCCGACATTTCACTGAACAGGAACTCTAACCATCCACGCTAGAATTTCGAAAGCGAGCTGGGCTACGACTGTCGCCGTCGTCTGAACATTGTCATCATACACGGGCGATAATTCCGCGATATCGGCCCCTATAATCTTGATTCCTGCAGCACTAAGACCTCTGAGTACTGCTACCATTTCACGCGTTGTCATGCCCCCAATCTCTGAGCATCCTGTCGCAGGCGCAAATGCTGGCCAGGGTGGTTAGTAATAATTGTTTGCGCGCTGCTAGATCCACGCCGGATACTCACCGGAATCAAGAACATCGATATCAATCGTGACGTAGACAGGGTTATTTCCAACCCTTTGTAGGATACGCTGAACAATACCATCGATACCGAGGGTATCGATATCTGTAGCCATGATGAACTGAAAACCGCATTCAGCATCATGGCGGAGATCTTCCGTCTTGTCGAAAAGCAATGCACGGGTTCCCACATGAATTCCGGTGTCGTTTCTGAGTAAACCTTCCTCGTGTGCAAAGTGGAGGAGTGTTCCATGGGTGATTTCGTCGTACTTGTTGATACCGCCGCCCCACTGCCTCGGATTCCAGGTGTCGAGATGTGCATCGAAATGGATGACGGCCATTTCACCCCAGATTGAGTGCAGAGCACGCAACGAAGGCAAAGCTAACATGGTCGTCAACACCGGATCCGTATTCCTGATTGGTGACAGGATGCATTTAGAAAGTAAGCCACTCACTGATGGTATGGTCACCTCCAACTGTTATGAGGCGCACATTGTCGCCTTTGGACGTCGTTTTGGGTCGTCGAGATGCCATTGCATGTAATCCTTGTCCTAGCTCTTGAACAGCCTCGTACTTGTCAAACACAGAGTTCGGAATGTCTCCACAGTCGACAACAGTTGCCCAGTCTCGGAATGGATTCATCATGTCATGAGCCATGCTAGTCGACATTTCAGTGATTGTGAGCACATATAAATGCTAGGAAAATGTGAAACTGGGATATCTCACCTGTATCCAATGGAAGGGCCCATGCGCTGCGAGACTGCCCTAACAGCCGCAGGACCGAACCGCTGACCAGGACGGTAACTCACACCTAGATCAAAAGGCATGCCCACGATGCCGACATCGAAAGTGCCATCGCTTTCAGGAGCGAAGCAATTCGTCCAGTTGAGATGAGAGAAGGTTGCGATGCCAGGCATCGGCGCGTTTTTGCCAAAGTTATCATAGATGTGGAACTCGGCGGGCACATCGGCGTTTGCACTCATTGTCAAGTCATTTTCTGGTGGGCGATAAACTGATATCTGGTGAAAAGTTTTATCGTTGTTCGCAACATAATGATGGTCGATTGGACGCTGAGCAATGTGGCCATGGACGCCGAGCTGATAAGCTACCACTAAGAGGGCAGCTTTGAAGCTTGTCATGTCGCGCTCAGTATAAGCTCTGTTGGAAGTGTGTATACAGTGACATAGGTGTTAAGACTACATACCTTACGCACTATTAGGAACAAGGGTTATTTATACCCGGAACCCAGTAATCCTTGTACCAGGTATAGTGCTTGCGGGCATATTTCAGGCAATGCCAATGCGATAGCACTCATGCAAGAACTCCAATGGCTGGCAGCTAATCTATGAAGGGTTCTTAAGATACGGCAGCGGTGGAGGCTGTTGCCGGACAGAAGCGTATCTAATGATACGCCAATTATCGGACGTATCGTATCTTGGCATTGATATCTAGTATAGGCTATAGCACCGCGGGCTCGTATCTTTTGTGATCCCCCCAGACTCGACACTAAGCCTAAACTGCCCACTCACGTCTTACAGTAGATGGATGGTCAAATATACATGGGTGGAAAAGCGCTCCACTTACTCCTCCAATCAACAGTTCCAAGTACTCAAACTCCTACGGTTTTGATATCCATGTGGTGTAGGTATGCCCGAATGAAGTGCTCGCCGAGTATCGGTGCAGGATATTCCTTTCCTCCAAGTACATGCTCTCCGACCTTCAAGCCCTTGAACATTCCGGGAGCTGTTTCGTCCGTGTAGCTGTCAAAGACCGCGGCAATGCGGGCTAAGGACCCAGCCGGGTGTGCCAGAGCATGGCTTAGTGCCTGTTGCTTCCACGTATTGAAGGCGACGATCTCCTTCCCGCCACTGACCGAACTTAGCATCTTGAAGAACTCATTACAGGTCTGAGCACGCGCATTCAAAAAGTCAAAATCACGGTCCATTCGGTGCAAGTCTTGGGTCATCACCGCCGTGATGGTCTTACTTAGATAGTCGATAGGCAAGACGGACGACACGTCAGCATCTAACGACGGAAATGCGCCCATCTCCAGACTGCCTGAAATCAAGTTGTGTAGAAAGTCGCCTCGATCGAGCCGGAACCGTCCAGTTGTGGTAGATGCCGTCACGTATGGGAGTCGGTAGATGGTTGTCCTAGCCCCTCGCCATCGAGCCGCAGTTACCAGCCTCTCGGCAATGTACTTGGATGTCCCGTAGCCGAATTCCTGGTCTTGCTCGGTCAGGCCTAAACCCAGATGGATGGGCAATGTGGATATAGTCGAGACAAGGTGGACTGCTTTGGCGCAGCCGTAGGATGCCAGACGCAGAATCTCGTGAGTGCTGACCATATTTGGACCGACATACTGGTCCAAAGGTCGCATCCAGTCCACCAGGGCACCGGAGTGACATATAGCATCCACACTGTCGGCCAACTGATTGAAAAGTTCCTTGGTCAGGCCGAGGAGCGGTTGAGACAAGTCACCGACAACTGCATTGATCATCGTAGAAAACTCGGGTTCCCACAAGCCATGGTCTTGCAGAGCAGTCGTGATTCTCTCCTGCGCCTTATCCAAATCGTCAGCGCGCACTAAACAGTACGTAGTTATTCCTTGCTTGACCAGCTCATGCAAGATGAAGGCACCGACAAAACCTGTTGCACCTGTGAGGAAAATGGACTTGGGACGGGTGTTGCATCTGGTTGGATCCCGAGAGACATTATCAAACGTGAAGCTGCTGTCGAGACAGCCTCTACGAATTGCTGCATCATCTAGACAAGGAAGGTCCAATATCGTAGTGGCCGAAGTATCACTGCTCGATACGGCCGAACTGGAAGATGTCTCCGTCTCCTGTAGGTGCGTTAATAGGAATTGGCTGAGCATCCTGAGATTTGGATGAAGGATCGCGATATTGACGGAGAGAGTCAGCCCTGTCAGCTTGGACAAGTGGTTGCGCATCTGGACAGCGGTCAGAGAGTCAATGCCAATCTCTTGCAAAGGCCTGTCAACGTCCACATCAAGTGGGTGTGTGAAACCCAACGCCTTGGCAACTACTTCTCGAACCATGCTAAGCAAGATGCCGGCATGCTGTTCTTGCTCACTTTCATTCAGGATTATTAATAGGTCCCAACCCTGAGAAGCCTGTGCGCGTTCATGAGCCAGGAGTAAGAAAAGCAACGGGGGTATGCCCCCTTGTTCCTCGACGGCACTTCGAAGTCGCCCCAAATCAAGAGCCGCTGCCACAGTCAATGCACGGGTGCTAACAACAGCCTCTTCAAGCAGACCCAGCCCCTCCACAGGCGTCAGAGCATCAAGACCGAATTGAGCGAGATGGGAGACTGTGTTGCTGCTTAGTCTCGATGCCATGCCATCGCCCGACCATGTACCATATGCCACCGAGGTGGCGGGCAAGCCTTGAGCGCGCCGAAGATACGCGAGAGCGTCAAGAAAGGAATTTGCAGCCGCGTAATTGGCAAGCCCGGACAAGCCCATTACCCCAGAAATAGAAGAGAACATCATGAACGCGTCAAGATCCATGTCGAAAGTGGCCTGGTGTAAAAGCCAAGCTCCATACACTTTCGGACCAAGCGTCGTTGCGCACCGTTCCGGCGTCATGGCCAAGAGAACGCCCGAGTCTGCTACACCAGCTGCATGGACAACGCCACGCAACGGTCGGTCTTTGCTAAACATGGCCATGACTGACTTGATGCTCATTGGATCGGCTATATCGCTGGAAAGCACAGTGACTTTGACACCGGAAGCGGCCAGCTCATTTACTAGATTCTCTGCGCCAGGCGCCTCCATGCCACGGCGTGATGTCAGTACCATATCGCGAACACCATGGTTAGTCGCCAGCCAGCGGGCTACATGCGCACCAAGCTGGCCGAGTCCTCCTGTTATCAGCACTGCGCCGTCTTGTCGGATGAGTCGTTTCTCGGGTAGAGAATTCAATAGCGGCCTCACGCGCTCCATTCGCGGCGCAAGCACCTGACCCTGACGTATGGCACATTCTGGCTCGGCACTGAACAAGAGCGCCAAGGCGACGCAGGTGTCCATTTCCTCGCCTAGATCTACCAGCCGCAAGCGCAAGTCGGGGTGCTCACTTCTGGCAGTACGCATCAGGCCCCATAGAGGCGCTGCTCCGAGATTCATATTCTGATCATCGGGTTCGGTGCCAGTACCTATTGCACGGCGAGTGACCCAGATGAGTGGGGGCGTGAATTGAATCTGGGCTGCCGTCTGCAGTTGAGCCAGCGCCTTGGCGACATGGCCTTGTGCCTGCGATAGCACGTCTTCATCAGAGTCCCATAGACAAATTAGGCCATCCAGATTTTCGGCATCTTTGAGTTGATGAACATCTACCAGTTGATTCCCAGTTCGTGTGACAAGAGCTCTCAAGTGCCCTGCCTTTTCCAGGTTGCTTGCTGTAGCTAACAATCCCCAGGTTTTTCCGGTAGTGATATCCTCAGCTCTCGCTGGGTGCCATGTTATCTCGAAACGGAGTTGATCTTGGCCTCCAGTGGGAGCATGTCTGGTGGCATTGTTGACATTCCTGGGGAAATGGTCGTCATGTACGTCTCTACGAGCATCGTAATGCCGCTGGAAGGCGTATGTAGGCAAATCTATGCGCTGACAAGTGAATGGCTCGAAGTAGGCTGTCCAATCGATTGGAACGTGTCGCATATGCAAGTCCGCAATGCTGCGCTGGAGAACCCGCACGCCGTCTATGTGGGGCATAAGAGACGGCGTCCATGCGAAAGATGCGCTTCTACCCTCATCTCGAAGGCACTCTGCACCCATGCCGCAAAGTATGGGCCGCGGTCCGACCTCCAGGAATACGTCAACGCCATGCTGACTCAAAGATCGGATGCTGTCACTGAAGCGAACTGGCTCACGCACTTGCCGGACCCAATACTCTGCTTGGTCGATCTGGCCTGCCCTAACCACTGAGCCGCTGAGACTGCTGATGACACTTAAAATTTGGGGCGCTGTAAGTTAGAGTTTCAGCGACGGCCCGAAAATCTTCCAGCATCCCGTCTACATGGCGGGAGTGGAAGGCGTGTCCAACGACTAACGTCTTTGTCTTGCGCCCTTGTCTAGAGAAGTGGTCTGAAATGCTTCCCACGGCATCACTTTTCCCAGAGATTACCGTCTGTTGCGGTGTGTTGTAGAGAGCAATATCGACTGTAGCATCGTGCCCTAGGTCTTTTATGGCTAGCGCAACTTCTGCAGCAGTCGCGCCAAGCGATACCATTCGAGTATCGCCAGCCTGAGCTTGCATCAGCCTGCTGCGAGCTGCAACTAGTCGACAAGCATCGACAAGATCAAAAACGCCAGCTACGTGAGCAGCGACAAGCTCGCCCAGGCTATGGCCGAGCACAAACTCGGGTCGCACCCCCAAACTTTCCCACAGCCTCCACAGCGCCACTTCTAGAGCAAAGAGAGCAGTCTGCGCGAAATCAGTACGCTTCAAGAATGTGGCCTCCTTAGTATCAGAATCGGCCCACATGACACTGAGCAATGGGAACTCCAGATTCGTAAAGTGTGCCGCGACCTCCTTCAACGTATCGCGAAAGACCGGGTATACCTCGCATAGGTCTTTGCCCATACCTAGCCATTGGCTCCCTTGGCCTGTGAAGAGCATGGCCATTCTCGGCGGCCCCGAGGCATCGCTAGCAGTCACTAACGAAGATTCTGGGCGTCTGATGGAACTCAGCTTCTCGAGCAACTCAGCTTTGCTATGAGCCATCAAGACGAGTCGCTTTCGAAGGTGACTGCGTGTAGTTGCTAAGGAGTAGGACACATCTTCCAAACGTAATTGGCCCACCCGGCTTATATGCTGATGAAGCCGTTCAGCCTGGACCTGTAGGGCTTCGTCGGTATCACCGGAGAGGCAGAATGGCATAATAGGAGGGACAAGTTGAGCGACTGTCCTGGCGTCACCAGCAGTCGTCATTGGCTCCGACGATTCTTCAACAATGATGTGAGCGTTGGTTCCCCCAATGCCGAATGCACTAATTCCAGCACGTCGCAGACGGTTACCCATCGAAGTCCATGACCTTTTACTCAATACCGGCGTCATATTCGCATGCTGCCAATCCACTGCCGGTGTAGGCTTGGCTATGTGTAGAGATTCTGGGAGGGTGTTGTTCTGCAGGGCTAATACAACTTTCAGTAGACCTACAAGACCTGCGGCTGCTTGGGTGTGGCCAATATTGGACTTGGCAGAACCGATCAGTAGAGTCTCTATACTAGAACGGCTGGCACCAAATACTTCTGCCAACGCCGTGGCTTCGATTGGATCTCCCAGCTTTGTACCAATGCCGTGGGCCTCGATGTAGTCGATGTCGTCCGGCTTCAGTCTGGCTGCAGCTAGCGCCCGTTGTATAAGCCGTTGCTGAGCTGGGCCACTGGGCGCCGTCAAACTTGCACTACGCCCGTCGTGGTTGACGGCAGTCCCGCGGATCACAGCATGTACCCGATTGCCATCTCGCCGGGCATCGGATAGCCGCTTAAGAATAACAACTGCAGACCCTTCGGACCATCCAGTTCCCTCAGTGTCAGCAGAAAAAGCCCGACAACGACCATCTGGCGACAATCCCTGCAGTCGACTGAACTCTATATGTAGGCCCGGGTTGAGCATGAGGCTGATACCACCGGATACGGCTATATCACACTCGCCTCCACGCAGCGCATTGCAAGCCAAGTGAGTGGTCACTAGCGAGGAGGAGCAGGCGGTGTCTATTGTCAATGCTGGACCCTCCAACCCCAGTTGATAGGCGATACGACCAGACATGGTACCGCCTGCAGACCCCGTCACTGTGTACCCGTCGAGGTCTGATAGGTCTCGAATGGCCATTTGGTTCAGAGATTGATGGGAGAGAATGTTGCTTGTACCGATGAATACTCCAGTCTGGCTGCCTCGTAGCTTCTCCACAGTCATTCCTGCGCGCTCAAAGCCTTCCCAGCAGGTCTCCAGCATCATGTACTGCGAAGGGTCCAATCTGCGTGCTTCCCGCGGCGAAATGCCAAATAACGATAAGTCAAAAGAGTTGACTGAAGAAATGAACCCTCCTCGCCGACAATGGGACTCGTCTTTTGCCTCAAGGCTCCCCTTCGAAAAGGCGTCTTCACCCCAACGGTCCTCGGGGACGTCGCTAATGGCATCACCACCGCGCTCGAGGAGCTCCCAGAAGTCCTCTGGACTGGCAATGCCGCCAGGTAGTCGGCATGCCATGGAAACTATGGCGATGTCTTCGGTGGTGCTCGCTTGGTGCAATGTTTTAGTGTCTCTGGGCGCAGCCGAGCCTGCAGAAGTCGACAGGTACGTCGCTAACGACTTGATGGTATAGTGTTCAAACAGTTTGGGCGATGCAATTGACCGCCCCAAGAGTTTCTCGAGCTCTGTCTGGACCCTGATAATGCGTACAGAGTCTCCCCCAATTTCAAAGAAACTGTCATTGACACCAATGCGGTCATGTTCTAAAGCTCTTGACCAGATATCGAGTATTTGATCCTCTAATTCAGTGACCGGTTTCGCATCAGGCTTTTCCTTGATTGCCGTTATAGGATCCGGCAGGGCCTTGCGGTCGACCTTGCCGTTGATAGTTACCGGAAATGCCTCCATTACAACGAAAAAGGCCGGAATCATATAAGACGGGATCTTTGTGGCCAACCAAGGCCGTAGCTCACGGTCGAGGCCTGCCTTGGTCTTGGCTGCCTCATTGCCAGAACTTGCTTTTAGTACGCAGTATGCCACCAGCCGTTCATCATAGGAAATTACAACTGCTCCGGATATGTTTTGATGCTCGATGATGGCTGCTTCAATGTCACCTAGCTCAATCCTGTGGCCTCGGATCTTAACCTGTCCGTCTATCCGACCAATGACGCTCAACTCTCCCCGCCTGACCATGCATGCGAGGTCACCAGTGCGGTACATTGTACCCCCATGAAACGGATTGTCGAGGAATTGAGAGTTGGTGAGCTCCTTCATATTACGATACCCCCGTGCTACACCAGCACCACCAATATACAGCTCGCCAGGCTGGCCGAGTGGCACTGGTGCCTGGTTCTCATCGAGAACATACAGACGCCCGTTTGTTATGGGTCCTCCAACAATTATATCCTGTCCATAGGATACCTTCCAGATGCTTCCATATACAGTCGCTTCAGTCGGGCCGTACATGTTCCAAAGCACGTCACCACAGGCTAGGAGACGGTCCGCCAACTTTCGCGACAGTGCCTCGCCGCCGCAAAAGATCTTTCGAAGCCTCGGCTGACCTTTCCAGCCTGAGTCCAGCAACATCTGCCAGATGGCTGGTGTGCCCTGCATGATGGTGATCTCGTGGCGCTTCATGAGAGCCACAAGGGCGGCCATGTCTTTGATCTCGGGTCCTTGTGCGATAACGACCGTCGCTCCGCAGAGCAGTGGTAGGAACAACTCCAAAACAGCCATGTCGAACGATATAGTCGTGATAGCGAGTAGCTTCTCTGACTCGTCACATCCGGGTTCCCTCTTCATCGACAACAAGAGGTTTGACACGCTCCCATGGGTGACCTCGACCCCTTTGGGCCGACCTGTTGACCCGGAAGTGTACATGACATAGGCGAGGTCGTCGCTCTGCGTTACGTCTCCCTGCCTTGTGCCGTTGGAGTCGTGATCCATCATGCGTAGAGAATCATCAATGTCAAGGCACACGTCTGCCCAAGAGGCAAAGGCCGCGTCTGTGCTTCCGCATGTAATGACAAGTTTGGGGCAAGCGTCTTCCATGATCTGTTTGATGCGTTCTTGGGGAAGTGCAGGATCGAAAGGCACGTAAGCGGCGCCCGTCTTCCAAATCGCCAGGAAAACCGGGACGAGGTCAACAGAGCGGTCCAACGCCACACCGACAATGTCGCCATTTCTAATTTCTCTCTGAAGTAGTTTTCGGGCAAATCGATTTGCGAGAGCGTTAAGTTCTCGATATGTGAGTGTCTTGTCTGCACAGACTATGGCGGTCTTCTGCCCGTATTTCTCAACCATTTTCTCGAGAAGCTGGTGTAGACACAATCCCAAGGTTGTGGGGTCATGATTGCTGTTGGAGTCCTGATCTGTGTGCCAGGCTTCTTGCCGTGGATGGTCCATCTTTTCTGTGTGAGAATGGTTCTATTATGGAGGGGATTGATATGCGATGGTTCCTGCAGGTCGGTAGCCAACAGGATAACGATATGCCTTGATATACTCGATCAAGCTTATTGAGGTACTTTTGGGTCCGACTGGTTGGAAACTTGACCAAACTTGGTAAGCAGCTATTTGGAATATGGTTTCGTTTCCAATGGTTCGGGAACCAATAGGCAAGCCTCCGTCATGAGCCGCGAACTGTTGGCTGCAGGTTTCGTCTGTGGGTTCATTATAGGACTTGTCACGCAGGGGACCCTATACATGCGCTCATCGGCTGACATGTCATGGGGGCCAAATGCAGCTATACGAAACTTGCAATTAGTTGCGTTGTTACTGGTAACATCCTAGTCTCGTGAGGTATAAGACCCTGGGAAGTGGTAGATAAGCGGCCAAGAACACATCCACTGGCAAATGTCAAACACGGAGCACCATCCGGGGTTTCCTAGAAGCATGACCTCTGCTACAGGGTTTGGAGGATTTAGACCCTCAATCCCCTGCCTCATTCACATGCTACATACCTAACCTCTCAAAGCAGTTCACCGACAAGGGGAAAGCTCTCTCAAGTCACTTGCATTATTTCTCTTACGGTTTTCCTGCTCAGGACCTAGCTAGCTACGCCAATCCTTTTTCCACATTCTTGAATTTCACTAGAAGCCGCGTGCTTGTGTCAGCCAGAGTTACTGGACAGAATGAGTGTTGTCGCAGTTGCTGGTGGTCTTGGTGACCTAGGCCGCCTCATTGCTGAGGCACTGATTGAAACTGGCAAACATGAGGTTTATGTCATGTCCAGAAAGGTACGAAAGCAGTCACGCACATACTTCAATCTGCTTACTAGACTTTTCAGACTTCCCAGGGAGGTTCCACTCGTACCTCACCTCTGACTGGCAAGCAATACTCTTCTCTCATCCACACAGACTACTCATCTGAAGAGTCCTTGGTCCAACAGCTCGCAGACAGGCAGGTTGATGTCATCATCTGTACCTTTATCATGGATTGTGACTCGGCTTCGGATGCTCAGATACGTCTCATTAGGGCTGCTGAAAAGTGTGCCTGTGTGAAACGTTTCATACCCTCCGAGTTTAACGTCGAGTATGAAGTTGGCGATGATGTACTCCCTTACCCGGAGAAGAGGTTCCATCTTGCAGCTCGGCGCGAGCTAGAGAAGACAAGCACCTTTGAGTATGCCTACATCTATCCCGGCATGTTCATGGACTATTTTGGCCTGCCAAAGGTGGAGAGCAGCCTTCGTCCGCTCTGTTTCTTTGTTGACCCAGAAAAAGGTCTGGCGGTATTGCCGGATGATGGTGAGGCTAGAATGAGCATGACCTTTACGACGGACGCTGCACGGTACATAGCTCTAGCACTTGATCTGGAGAAATGGACCCGGATTCTTACAACTGTTGTCAGCACCGTCTCACTCAATGAGCTTGTCAAGCTCTTAGAGGAGAGCCTGGGTCGTAAGCTGCAAGTACTTTACCAGCCTCTGGAAAAGCTTCTTGAGCATGACGCGATCGACCTCCCGACCAACTTGGAGATTGCGAAAGAGTATCCGGAGCGATTCCCCGAGGGATTGGATCAGCTGCGAGGGCTGATTGCCGATCTCGAGGCTGGCGTTGCACTTGGAGCCTACGACCTCAGCAAGTTACATGGGCACCTAGACCTAGTCAAGGTGTTTGAGGGGGTGACTGCGGCCCCAAGGAGAATCGAGGACTTGGTGGAGGAGGCATGGGGTGCAGCAGGTACTGATCAATGAAAGATACGGCAAAATTTGGGCCCGTGCCATGAAGATCGAACGAGGCAGTGTTGACCAAAACCCTGCCTGGCTCTGAAGTTGCTGGGATTGGTAATCTTTGCGCTAGTGCTGGGAATAAGCCAGGTCAAACCGAGTCCGACCGTCAAGTCAAGTCAAATGCAGCGTACATATGAATCACTCCTAAATCACATTCGCAAGTCCTGGTTGACCAATCGGAGAGCATGAGTAAAGTAATAAATGGGGCCCCTGAGGAGTTGGAAAGGGCATCGGCCAAGACACAATCACTAAGTATCAAAGTATCTATTTACCATTCGCTGTAATATTGCTATAGTTCCAAATTCCAGCAAGGCTAGTGCAAAGGTTACCTTGCTCTCAAGTATAGCAAACTTTTAGTGCTCGCTCGCTTAGCCCTGTACATGATCTAGTATAAGGAAATTTACTTGGCTCGGTCCCAGCACTGCTTAGCGCTGATCCTACAGACTAGACCCCTAGGCAATCAAAGGATGCCAGCCGTGGATCCATTCCAATTGATAAGTCCTATAAATGTGTGTGGATGTATGCGAGCCTCGAGCATCCTGAGGTTCATAGTCCCCCGCATTGCCCACATTATCAACTATAATCCCGGCAAGTCTAGCAGCGAGAAAACAATGCGCATATCGTGTAAGTGTGGATCCTGGAGGATGAATATTATACAAACCCCCGGCTATCATTCACGGGCTGCTGTTCGCATAATCCTTCTGAAAGTTGGGATCGGTTCCTTTCTGCAGATATCCTATCTGCCCATCGACATGTGCTAACCATATAAGTTCATCCGCTGCGAGACAATGTTTGCATTGATCCATGCAGATTCCTGGTGTGTACTATCAGATAATTCGTCATCTGTATTCGCTTTATAACCACGAGACAACATGGCCTCAAATGTACCCAAGCTACAGCAAGTTCAGGCCTCTGCGGGCCGGGACGCTGTGCTGACGGCTGTCCGGCAAGACGGTGCTGTCATCATCAAAGGACTGTTCACTAAAGACCAAGTCCGCCGTCTGAATGAAGAGGTGCAGCCTTTTGTAGACAATATGGGAGTGGGCTCTAACCACACGGAAGACTGGGTCAAGGAGTTCCATGGAGATAATACAAAGCGCTTGAATGGCGTGGTCGCACTAAGCAAGACTTTTCGCCACGAGATTCTGGAGAGCGAATTGATTCACCAGGTGTGCGAGGACATCTATCTCAAGGATGCCGGCGGCTACTGGATGAACTCTGCTCAAGTCATCGACATAGGGCCAGGCAGCAAGGCCCAGCCGCTCCATAGAGACCAGTGGCAGTTTCCCATATTCACGCGCTGCGGTCCCGATGCGCCCGAGGCCAGCATCAACTTTGTCGTGGCCTTGACGGACTTTAGCGACGAGAATGGGGCCACCAGAGTCATCCCCGGCAGTCACAAGTGGGACGATTTTAGTCGGAACGGGACGCCAGAGGACACCATTCCCGCGGAAATGGAAGCCGGCGATGCATGCTTCATTACCGGAAAGGTTGTGCACGGCGGCGGCGAGAATAGAACCAAGGACTCTACAAGGAGGGGCATCACTCTGGTTTTTCAGTGCTCGTACCTCACGCCTGAGGAGGCCTATCCTTTCATCATCAGCAAGGAGCTCGCCAGAACTCTCAGCCCGCGCGGTCAGCGTATGATTGGTTTCCGATCTCAGTTTCTCAAGGACAGTCCCGGGGTTTGGAAGCGCAACTATGGAGACATGGATGAGGTACATTGTTAAGATCAGTCATTAATTCGTATCACCATTATATGATGATAATTCAAGGCAATACATTGTGCATTGAGATGATAATAGCTTCGAGACTCTTCCGTATCCCTTAAAATGGACTACCATTAAGGACCTAAAATTTAACAGCCGTAGCTGAATTACGGAAAAGAAAGAAAAGAAATAGGGAAAAAAGAAAGAAAAATGAACGGAAAAAATTATAAATTAGCATTTGAGAGTAGTATTTTTTTCCTTCTCTTTTCTCAATTTATATTACATTATCACTTTTGTCACAGCCACGGTAATATGCGCGTATAAAGCCAAAATCGGGGGTATTCAACAGTTTTCTCTCTGGTTCTCCGTACTAAATAATAAGCGCAAGCATCAAAAAAGTTTGCTCAATAGAATCAAAGTTTGGCTTAGATCACAGCTTTGACCCAGGCTCCCGGTCGCCAATCCCAAGCCCCTCGAGCAACTTCTCTCCCACCAGCTGGAGAAATTCATCCACCTCTGCGTACGAATAATACGCCGGATTATAGCAGGTGTTCATAGACAAACGCCCTTGCCAGGCCCACATGAAGCATTCAAGCCAGGGACCCGTGACCGTATCTCCGAACCATACATCCCTGATGTGCCAGACCCCCTTGCCGTCCGCATCAGCGTAAGATGACGCAATGAAGCTATCGACCACACCCAAGCTCGAAAGAGCCGGCGTTGTCTCCTCGAGCGGCGTCTTGGTGAACTCGGGAACCATCATACGGATCATGGGCCCCAGCGCGCTCCATATCTCGGCATCTGCCTGGGGCAGATCTTGCTGATAGAATGCAGCGAGCTCATGCACCATCTGCGAAAAAGTTTTGTTGCCCGGTTCAAAGACGTACGGCAGCACACCGTGGTGGTTGCTCAGAGCGTGAACATCAGATAGGCTCTCGTCGACCGCCGCGGGAAAGTAGCGGCGCAAGTCAAAGTTGCCAAAAGCAGCAAACTGCGTGCCCGCGCGGGCCTCGTTCCCGGGCTGGGACGCGGCGTTGCGCTGGGCCTGTACCGCCTGCGTGGCCAGCACCACGGCAACGTGCCAGGCTGCCGTGACGCTCAAGCGCTGCGCCTTGCACGCGGCGACAATGGACGCCGTGGTGCGGGCACTGAGCTTGAGCTCGAACGCCGCGTTGCGTGGAGAGCAGGCGCCAATGGGCTGCGCTACGGGCACGTAAATGGGCGCGCTCATGGTGAGGAGCGGCGCGAGTATCTCCAACGCGCGCGCCTCCCCGCGGCCCGCCTTCTTCTCTGTCAAGTCGAGCAGATCGTCCGATCGGGGTGGGAGGCGGGATATTTCGGAGCCATCTGTCTGAATGGTCGCTTCCAGCTGCGACACCGATGCGAGGTTCTTGAAGAACCGATCCCAAAAGTTCATGGCGCCTCGCCCATCCAGAATGTGGTGTTCACCTTGGATGAACAATTGGCTCTCTTCGGGAAAATAATACAGAGTCATCTGTCTTGTCTTGACCATGGTCTTCCAGTGCTCGGCAGAGGTCTTTTTTGGGATCACGATGAACGTGGTAGCAAGCCAGGCTTCGAGCTCGTCCATAGAAGATGGCGACGTGTACGTCTTCCCTTCAGGGCGGTTTTCTGCCGCCAAAGTTGGGTACTGCTGCCGCGTTTGCAGCCAGGCTTGACGGAGTCGAGCGGCCAAGTCATCGTGGGTTAGCTTGTTGCTCGGGGAGGACGGTTGGTAGTTGAAAGTGACGTGCGTGCCTATAAGAAAAAGGCCCGGTGATCCGGGAGGCACAGAGATGGCGTTATAGAGAACTTCTTGGAAGCCGTAGGGCTGAGTGTATACATTTGGAGCAGTTTGCTTCCATGACGGATGGCATTTGACTCTGTTGGCAGGCGGCATCTTGAGATGTTCACAGGATATTGTTCGTCCTGAGATACTGCCAATCGACTCAGGTGGTTTGAGCCTCAGAGTAGGTGAAGACTGACTAAGTTATACCGTAATGATACATAGGATTCCCTCGTATTATGCGCCTAGACCGAGTTATGGTTAGGGTGTTTCATTCTTGGATAGATCAATCAGGGCGTACGGGACTTTTGTGTATCGGCCGAGTCCGGAGTACAATCTATCCTTCGTATACTCCTCATCCATGCCATGTTGGATTATACGAACCCCACTGCACATGGTTGCATTTGGAGCTGAATCCCTGGTACTACCATTGTCTTGGAACGGCCTAGCTGGGAAGCCGCGCACTCGGTAAGCAAGAATGGGTATAGTCCGGCGGGGCCAATCATAATATCCGAGTTTATATAAATCGAGGGAAAATCTTGTATAGAGTACACAACTATATTAGGTCATTTGACATGGCTCAAGCTGCCAAGCGCATGGAAGGATTTTACGAAGCCGAACTACATAGACCAACCACAGCTCTAGGTGTCGGTGGAGTTGCTATTGAACAATAGGCTAGATACCGTGCGGTCCGAAAAGTACACTCTTAGCAGGATCACATAGAATTTCACAACACCTTACTCCACATCTGCCCACGCAGAGTGCAATCGCTTTCGGATGGCCAACCTGGGCCATAAACTGAGAAGAGGGGCAGAAGAGCGCAAATGATCCTGCTTACACTTCATGAAGGCCGAAGAAATTTCCTCACCTCTATTACCTGTCTGGGGCCGCAAACCTAGAAGACATTCTGGCAATCCAGGACTATAAGATTATTTATAGGTACCCTGCTTCAGTACGCAGCCTTGAGATATCATGACTATATTATTTGAGCGACAAATAGTGCCAGATAGATACGAAACAATGATGGTTACTTCGTTCTTGGCCGCATTGTTTAGGCCATTTATACTACCGATTCCGATCTTGCTAAATATTCACAATGGGGAAGCTTTCTGTTGTACTACCGTAGTCAGTATCCACCGTAGATCATCTGCCCGGGTATATTAGATAGCTCTTCAGCGCCTCTTTCTTATATATAGCTAAATAGTTATGTTCAACTCAAATATCTTCTTGGTGTTCCTGCGATCACATCATTCCCGTCGTATTGGCTTAGGGGAGAATTTCAATCATATGCTTCTGTCTCTAGTTCGTGAGAGAGTGTGTTAAGGACTAGCCACAACTTACATGATCACTATGGATATCTATGCATACGGTGACGCAATTTATATATCTCAAAGATGCTGCTCTGCTGATCTGGTCCACTTGCTATCAAGCATTGGCCCTATTGACTCCGAGACCATCTTGGGCAAGACAATATATTCTATGGCTACCCTCTATTCATCCATGTGCTCCATTCTTCCTTCTAAAGAGGCCCTTGATTCCGGAGCGCACTTGCACAGCGTTTTCCGGCTCTTCTGACTTTGAGGTCAGAGAGTCATTAGAAGCTGTTATTTGCGAGTGACTGATGGGTTCTCGCTGTGACTTCGGCTGTAGAAGGTCAAAGGCAAGATTTAAAAGAGACGCTGCTTCCTCAACATGTATACTAACGACAAAATACTTGCGCGGCACCATGATTAGCTCCACTATATCCACCCTAACCTGATCCGGACCAAGATCAACAAGTTCTCCTGAACTCTGCGAAGCATCGTGCGAGAATGATGCGCCACAGTGTGGCTGGTTGTGTGGCACCCTTCGGGTGACACAACGGGAAGGGTTGGTTAAGTCTGTTTGTTCACACATTATTTTCGTAGATGTAGACCATCTTTTTTATTTTACTCTTTATTTCAGATACTGGTCGTATCAGAGAACTTGCGTTCACATTCGGCAAACGTGCAATTTTCGTCGGTATCATCGACCACCTGGGCCCTCACGTCCCCGTAGTCTGATTTGGCTCCATACAGAATTGTGAGGTAGGATTCGTCCTTTCGCTTGAAGACAACCACAGCAGCCAGAGAGTTCCTCTTCTTCGGTTCCCTGAAGGCAGTTTTTGTGTCCTTTGGGCTGTCAGCATTACATGCTTAATCCAAATTCCAATCCGCTGTAAGACCGCGGTTGGAGGCAGCTCTCTTCAGGCGGGCATCAGGCTCATTCCTCTGGCAGTGAGTGCGCCGATCGGCACAATGGTCACTACGATTATGCTTAAGAATCGGCGGGTGCCACCTCTCTATGTTTCTCTCGTCCGCCAATTGTTCAAATAATCGGCCTTGTTTTCCTCTCCCGAGGATCACCGAGTGAGCCAGATTGGCGGGGTCTCTATGGCATTGAGGTAATCATAGGACTTGGGACAGGCTGCAATATTGGAACGGCTGCCCTTCTGACTCCATGGATGGTGGAAAGGAGAGACATCGGTATGTGTACAAAAGACTGCTATCTTACATATCTCGGCTGACCAGAATCGTAGCGGTGGGATCGGCTGCAGTAACTCAATTCCGCTGTTTGGGTAGTGCGATCGTTGTTGCCATTATGACATCGGGATTGACTAATTAAATGTGGTTGTTGAACGCAATTCAGACTCACTATATCTCTGCCTGTATCATTAGGATCCTTGACTAGACCGTGTATCTGAGTGAAGTCGTGACCAACTGAAGTCAGACGCAACGATAGCACCACCATCTACACCCACTTTCCCTCTATAGACGACGAGAAGATAATCCAAGACGGCGAAAAGCATGGAAACCATTGGAACCCAAGCACACCAGCTGTTGGCTGAAAACAGCCATACATAGTCCTCGTGCCAAGCCCCTATCGGATTGAGACGCGTTTGTAAGCAGCAGAATAAATGACTTGGCACAAAATGTGTCTGGAGGTAACATGAAGTGCCCTGAGTACGGGATTGGCCCAGCCGATGCTGCAGTGATGAACCCATTTATTGAATCTCAAAAGTGACAACACCGTCATACCCTCCTTTATAGCAGGTAATCATCCAAAAACTGGATTGCGTGTTCAACTGCCTTGGCCGCTTCCGCTTTCCACCCAATCATTGGCGCCAGAGTGAGGATGTCATGGGGTGCATTTGCGACCTCGTACGTCCCAACGCGGAATTTGACCCCATCTTTATGCTGAGGCTGAAATGATTTCTGCACATTCACGAAGTTCGTGATCTCCGGCTTCAGGATTTCAGCACTGCCCCATTGAACCCAAATCGGAACCTCGGTGGGAATTGAGGCGGTGACGGGCGAAATATATGGATCGCTACGAGCGACTCCCGTCTCAGAGCGCGGCAAAAACTCGCGATACGTCCACGCAATGAGTTCCGGCGCTACATGGTCTACATGAGTGGCGGGGCGCTCGTCGGCGACGTCGACCTCGATCACCATGTCGGGCCATGGACTCCAGAGGAGCAGGGCCGCAGGCTCTGGCAGTATGTCCAGATTGGCGTTGGCGTAGCGTAACAGCGCAATCGTGAGGTGGGCACCAGCCGAGTCACCCGACAGAACTATATCCTGAGGAGGGATCTGCAACTCATGGACGAGATACGAGTACGCTGTAACCGTGTCCTGGAAAGCGGCGGGGAACCTGCCGCCTGGCGCGGATGAAAGTCGGTATTCTGGACAGAAGATGGCGCAACCTGGGCTCGATTGTGACAGTAGTGAGCTCATAAATTTGATGCCCGGATCACGGCCATCTCCTAGGACGTAAGCGCCCCCGTGAACATGGAAGAAGACGCGTTGTCCTCGTTGGTGCTGCCCTGGATGTGTGATGGGCTTAGTGTGCCAGATGGCACCAACATCGCCCGGACTGATCAGGGGGTCGCAGAGCAGAATACCACGATAAACTTCGCTCCTAGCAGGCTGCGTAATAACAAACTGACCCTTCTCGTTTCCAACCTTGAGGAGGGGTGGCGGTTTGAGCTCAATCGTTGCCACGTATTTCCCGAAGTATACGAACAGTGTGCGGCACAGCGATTGACGAAACGTCCAAGAAGAGTTTGGACGCATTGATGGGAAAAGATAGAGCGTTAACAGCCAGGGCAATCGGAGCAACGTGGATACAACAAAGAAAGCTGTATACACAGCTGTGCCGGGCTGGCGAGTCCAGAAACTTGGCATGGTGTGCGCGTGGCTGATGCTGCCTAGGTCGAGATTGGAGGAGAAGTTCGGTGTACGTGAGATGAACAGCTAGAAGGTGATGAACGAGTATGCTAGGGAGGTTCGGAGGAGTGAGCTGGAAAAGGCCAAGGATATTTTATTTACAGGCCCTTGAAAAAAAGGCGCATGCATGACCCTGACTTGCCAAGACCAGTATTGTCTTTAACGTGCCATCACCAACAACAACAATGAAGGCTGCGCAATTGACCCACATATGTACCAAGGCAGTTGGACGTAGTTTGGGGGCCGCCGGCAGTATTATGCATTGCAGCTCGACCGACGTGCACACCGTTGTGCGCTACACCACACCCGACGCGGCACCCGGCGGCAGCGCGACATTATTCCTCACCTTGTCTGCATCGTACTCGGAGCTCCCAAACCGGGTGCGGTAACCATTAGTTATGGCCGTCGTGAATCGGCCAAAGTACGCGTCGATGCTCTCCGTCGTCGCATTGTCACTCCAAGGATCTAGCACGTCCACTCTGCTTTGGGGCGACTCGAGGAATTTGTCTCTGCCGGGTCCTTCGCCGCTACTCTTGGTTCGACAGTTCAGCGCGCCCGAGGTGACATTGCACCCGCCCGTCACATAATTGTCTTGCATAACTTAACTAACAGCAGAGCCAAACTTGGTGCTGTGGCGGTAAACACATGCCTCGGGCGCAGTGAGAGTTTTTATTTAACATTCCCCGCTGTTGCCGGTCTCGCTTATATCTATTTGAGTTGATTCGGGTGCCGCAGTAGCATTGTCTTTAGTATAGATGATCCCATGACATTGCACGGGAGGAAAACATTGGCATAGTCGGAGATATTATTAGTGCGACCGTCATACAGAAATACTTCCGGATCTGAGGGACTCGGATACGTCAGAGCGAGGCTGACGGGTTTTCAGTTTGTGCCTTTTTTTGGAAAAATAAAAAATAAAAAAAGATAAAAAAGCTCTTATTTATCTCAGTGATGCCAAGAATTTACTTTAATTAAAGTTTTCCTGCGCTTTACATGTCAACCTTGTTTTTATTTTGTTGTTCTTACTGCAAGTATATATATCCATAACGTCTACCTCACAACACTATTTAGCCCATTATTACTATGAATTAAAGAAACACGGGGGTGGTCCAAGATAGCTCTGCCTCAGTCCACCGACATCCAATACTGCTTTCTCCAAAACTAACCCTTCCGTCAACGGTCTATATTGACTCGGTGGAGGACTTTGGCAATCGAACAATGTGGGAATTTCGCGTGAACCTTGCAAACGGCGTCAAGGAATCAAAGTACCCCGTTTGGACCCGGGCCAACAACTATAAATCCAGTGATGCCAAGGGCGTCGAGTACAACGAACTAATGAGGGCCAATGGAGGCACCAGCCTGGACTATATTGGTCTTGATCCATATCTCTCGGACCTGGACGGCCTGTATGCCTACGGCCACAAGACCATCAGCACTTCAGGGACTCAAGTCAATGCTTGGGGCAAGAATCTCGTCATGGCCATGGAGAACGGGGGAGACATCACTAATGCGCCAAATGCCGTGCTAGCTACATTGGCTGGCGGTGCCCTCTACAACACCTATGAGATCTACGGCCCCGACGGGTATGGCCTGTATGTGCCCACCTCTGACAGCGACTTTACGCCCGTGGCTCGTGGGAGCTATGTGGCCGACGTGAAAGTTGTCAACAACATGCTCAAGAAAATCGGTCATGATTTGGCCTCGAGGGTTCCCCTGTCGGTTGGTGGCACAGGTATTGCCTTTTACAATTACCTCGCCTCCGACACAACCTCGACGTCAAATTTCCAGGCTTTCAATGTGACGTACGAGACGACAAACACTACGGGAGTCGGCATTTCCACTGTTCGAACGGGTACAGAGCTTGCTTTTGTGAGCAGCCAAGACGCTACTTTCACACTGTCGAGTGCGTCAGCTTACAATGTGGTGTCTGCTGAGACAGGAAGCTACAATGGTGGGACAACCTGGTCCAAGGACGAAACTGCTACATACAACAGCAAAGACGGTGATGTTGATTTTTCGATTGCTGCGGGCGAGTGCATTCGCATCGTGTTTGAAGAAACCGTCGCTACTTAGGTAGGTGAGCATTTCGGATGGGTTCAGTCATAACGCAGTGTTATTGCGACCAGTGACAATCAAGGATTTCCCGATGTTGCTTGTTTTGATGTGTTTGCCTTTTGGGGCACTCTTTTACTAGTCGTTGTGCAATGAGATAATGAAGAAGAAGGCCGGTTTATGGGAAGGTGGCAGATGTTACGAACATGCACCCTTGCAGGACAACCAAGGAAGGATAAGTACGGCCAGGAAAAGCGACCAAAGGCAAAAAGACAAAACCAACCCACTAGAAGTCACGTGACAACGTCACGTGCACCAGGATCAGCTGCTTAATTATGCTTAGTTAAAATTAATTAAGCAAAAGTTAGTAATATAAAGCAATATAATCGGGGCTAATATTAATAAGGAAATAAATAAATATATATTATAAAAAGATTTTTTATATATATAATTATTATTTTAATAATTAATTTAAATATTTATTTTACCTATAGGTAAAGCATTTAATACGCTTTAACGATTATATTTATAATATTAGATTAAAACCACTTTTAGTTATTTTTTGCTTAATTTAATATTTTGTTTAACGTTCTTTATTAGCATAAACCCTAATACCCTTATACCTAGGTTTATTTTAAAAACCCGTAATATAATCGTAATATTTTAATTATTTTTATTTAAATACGTTATTTAAATTATTATTAAGTAATACCTTATATAAAAAATATTATATTTTAAAATAGAAGCGTTATTAATAATTTAATTAAAGGAGTAGACGTTTTCGCAATAATTTAAACGTTATAAAAATAAATATAAACGCTGTATACCTAGAATTAATAGCTTTAAAAAGCCTACTTTGAAATTAAGGGAAATAATAAGCAATTTACCGAATAAATTACCGTTATCCCCGGATTAAAGGCAGAATTTAATAATAAGTATAAGATCTTTTTATTATTTTATTATGATAAAAAGGAAAAAAGCATATAAACCTTTTTTACCTAAGTAAAGGCTTATTTTCGGTTTTACCGTAATAATATTAAAACCGAAGAAAATAAGATTTTAGGCATCGCCGGATTTTTTAAAGGCACGGCTTTAAAATGGTTCGAACCTATTATAAAAGACTACTTTAAAAACCCGGACGACGATAAAAACGATAACACTAAGAAAATCTTCCGACGGTATTTTAAATTCGAATAATAGCTTAAGGCTATTTTTAGTAACCCTAACGAAATTCGCACGGCCGAGCGCGAATTTATATAATTTAAGCAAAAAAAATTAGCTGCTAAATACGCCGCCGAATTTAAATAAATTATATTTCGCACCGAATAAATTAATTACGATACGATAATAATATTATTTTATATAAGATTACGAAACGACGTTAAAAACGAAATATTTAAAAAAAACCGACCTAACGATTTTTATAAATATATAAAATATATTATTAAAATTAATAACCGCTTATACGAAAAACGATTTAAAAAAGGCAGAAACGGCCTTAAACCCTAATTTAATTTAAAAAAAATACGGTTCGGAGGACCTCGCAAAAACCAAAAATAAAAAAAAAAGACCTTTTACGGATAGCATAGCGGACTAATAGATTTCGACGCTACGCAGCGTAAAAATAAAACTAAAATTAAATATTATAATTACGATAAAATAAAATATTACGCTAGCGAATATCGCTAATTTAAAAAGCTTAAATTTAAGCTTATATTAAAAGGCAAAAAATAATTTAATAATATTAAGCGAAACGATATATTTTATAAATTATTTTTATAAACGGCGTATTTCGATAACGCTTGTTAAACGTATAAATTTAGCAAAAATAATAATAAATGGTACCTTAAGGAACGAAAAACCTTAATAGCTATACGCCTAAAAAAAATTATTATTTTTAGCCTAAAAAGATAAATGCAAAATAATAATAGCGAAATTATATTTAGTGTTTTAAAAAATAAAGCTTATTTTTAAATGTAACGGGCCGAATACTAGGCCCGAAATATAAAATTAAAGGGATTAATTGACGATATTAGTAGTAGTAATAAAAACCGTAGCAAAATCGACCCTTATATACTTAATAATATTTGCAGCATCGATAGATTACCGGAAAAATAGCGATTAATGCGATAACTATAGATTTTAAATAACGAGACACTTAAGGTTATAATTCGACGAAATCGATTAATTAAGCTAAATACTTTTTATATTATTATAATAGCGGAGCTATATAAAATAAAATAATAATTTATAAAAATCCTTTAAAAAACTATAAATATAATATAAGAAAAAAAACCTTAGGAGCCATTTTTAAAAACGATTTACGATTTAATATTAAATATAAATAATATTATTAAATTGCGTAAATAAAATATATCGATTTAAAATGCGACGAATACCTAAAATTAAAAATTTAATAAAGAATTTTTTTTTTTAAAATAGGAAAAACCGTTATAAATTACCCTTATTTAGCGGGATTTATAAAAAAAATAAAAATAAGCTATTGCGATATTTAAGGATATGTCGTGCTTATTATATACCCTAGCCTAAAATAATATTTAGATATAAAAAAACGGATATAATTAAATTATATAATAAACGAATATAACCTTTATATAAAAAATAAGGCTAAGGTATAGCGATAAATTAAAAAGCTACGGGCTACCGGATAATTTTAAATAACCTTAATTCGATATACGATAATAATCGATAACGCTATAAGGATAATATAGAAAGCGCCGCTATAATATTTTTAATTATTAATAACCTAATTAATTATTTTAATTAAAAAAATTATTAATAATATTAACTTATTAGGAATTAAACGATTTTACCTAAAATATAAAAAAACCGAGGAGCTAAGAAAGCCTTTTAAAGATAATAAAAAATAAGGAAATACCCCTAAAACCTAAAAAGAAACGAACGAACCACCTAAATAATACGGAAATCGACCCTTATAAGCTAAAAAAAACCTAAATATATTAAAATAATAGGTATATACGGCCGCTAAAAAATAGCGAGCTAATAAACGATTAAATAAAAATCTAGGAAAAGACCTAAATTACTTTTAAAGCGATAAAAATAGTCCCTAGGAAAAAAGTCTATATATACCATAAACGGCACTAATATTAACGAATATTTTACGATCTAAATTAGGATTATAAACTAAGAAATATAAGCTTTAATAAATACGGAAGCTTAAAAAAATTTTATTTCGCTAGTAATCGTTAACGCTTTATAAATATTATAAAAGCAAAAAAAAACGCTTTACGCATTTTAAATTATTAATAGAAAATTTATATCGTACGGAAATAAAATCGTAAATATAAAAATTGCGTATATTTAAATTTATATTTAAAACTACGAAAAAAGACTTAAATATAATATTATAAAAATTATAAATTACGATATTATTTTAGGGATACCCTAATTATAAGCAAATAATTTTAAAGTAAACTAAAATACCGGCTAATTTTAGTAAAATATATTAAAAAGAGAGTTAGCCTTTAAAAAACGCTAAAATAAGCCTTTAAGCAATTTTAAAATATTTAGATTTTACTTTATAATTAAGCATATTAAACCGGAATTCGAGATTAAAATATTAGGAGAATATTAAAAATTTAGCAATTTATTTAGTGGAATATTAAAAATAAGGTTATTAAAATATATAAAATATAATTATAAAATACCTTTTTAGGAAAAAAAAGAACCGTATTTCGTATTAACGTACCTAATAAAACCTTAATACGAAAAGGCATTAAAGGAATACCTAGTAGATATGCTATAAAAGGGATGGATTACGGAATCCACCTTATTTATAGGATACTTAATACTTTTTATACCTAAAAAAAATAAAGACGGAAAACCTAAATAAAGACCTTATATTAATTACCGTAAGCTTAACGATATTACGATTAAAAATAAATACCCTTTATTTTTAATTAAGGACCTACGCGATAAATTGTATAGAGCCTAGTGGTTTACGGCCCTAGATTTGCCTAACGCGTATAGCTTAATACGTATTAAAAAAGGAGAAAAATAAAAAACCGTTTTCCGTTGCAAATACGGATATTTCGAATATAAGGTTATGCCTTTTAGATTAATTAACGCATTAGTAAGCTTTTAGAATATAATTAACGACGTTTTAAAAGAATATTTTGATAAATTCGTAATAATATACCTCGATAATATATTTATTTATTCCAAAAATTTTGACGAATATTAATAATACGTTAAAATAGTGTTATAAAAGCTATAAAACGCGAACCTGCTAGTTAACCTAAAGAAAAGCGAATTTTATAAAAAAGAAGTTACTTTCGTAAAATATATAATATCTTTTAGAGAAATTAAAATAAAACTATTTAAAATTTTAGTAATAAAAAATTAGCCTACCCCGATTTCGGTAACGGAAATTAGATCCTTTTTAGGACTCGTAAATTTTTATTAAATATTTATTTAGGGATTTAGAGAGATTGCCGCACTATTTACGCACCTAATAAAAAAGGATATATTTTTTAATTAAATAACTAAAGTATAAAAAGCTTTCGAAATAGTTAAAAAACGAATTACGGATAAATCCGTAATACGTATAATAGACGCGGAACGAAAATTCGAAATCGAGATAAACGCCTCGGATTACGCCATAGGCGGATAATTTACGCAAAAAAATAATAACGGGAAATTATATTTAATTGTATTTTATAGCAAAAAGTTTACGAAAAAATAATTAAATTATTAAATTTACGATAAGGAATTTATAGCTATTATCGAAGCATTTCGAAAATAAAAATATTATTTTAGCGGAATTAAGTATTAAATTAAAATTTATACCGATTATAAGAATTTAGCTTTATTTATTATTAATAAAAAACTTAATAAGCGATAAATCAGGTAAATAGAATTTTTAGCAGATTTTAATTTTAAAATTATTTACCGCAAAAAATTAAAAAACGGCAAAACTAACGCTTTAAGCCGAAGATCGGATTATTTCCAGGAAATACCAAAAAAAACTAACACTATTT